TCGGTGTCGATCGACGTCGCCGCGTGTCCCGAAAATGACAGTCAGTGACAGCATCACGGTACTAAAAGATCGCGAACGCGAATTGAATATTCCTCTGTTTCCGTTCCCACTAAAAGTCGAATTTTATCGATTTTCGATTCGTTCGATTATCGGCTTCGCTAAAAATACAAATGAAATTACGAGGGAAACATTTCTTAGATGGCGCCGTGACTGACAATTGTGGATGAGTGGATAGCAAAGTGAATAACATAATTGAATTGGTTTCATTTGTCCTATTCGATAATATTTTATTTAAATGGATATACAAATTATTTCATTATTTAATTGTATCATTTCACTCAATTTGTTTGATTCGGTTTATTTAATAATATCTTATTTAGATTGATACAGGAAACTGTATTTATTGTATCACATTCATTTTATAACTGAATTTATTTAATTTATTTTTATTCAATAATCTATTCAGGTGAATATAGGGAAATATATCTGTTTAATTGTATTAGTATATCNGTTACCTTTGATTCGAAAATGTAATTGTTCTTTGTCATTATACTTTGTCGTTGTGTCGTTGTGTATCTTGAGAGATCTTTAAACGACGTTATCCTTTGCGATTTAAAAATGCAATTGTTCTTTGTCGTTATACTTTGCCGGATGTGAAAATGTCATTGTCCTTTGCGATTTTAAAATGCCATTGTTCCGTGACATTGTTCTTTGTAATTGTTCTTTGTCGATCTATAGATGAACTGAAAAATAAAATAGATAAATTAGTAAATAGAATAAATAGATTAGAAACTATTATAGATAAATTAGAAAATAAAATAGATAAGTTAGAAAATAAAATATATAAATTGGAAAATAAAATAGATAAATTAGTAGATAGAATAAGTAAATTAGAAACTATTATAGATAAATTATAGAAAATAAAATAGATAAATTGGAAAATTTAGATTTATATATATAGAAAGTAAAATAGATAAATTAGAAAATGAAATAAATAAATTCGAAACTCGAACAAATGAATTACAAACTAGAACGTATAGGTTAGGAACTAGAAACGCAGAATCATTGTCCGGAATGCCCATTGTCCCCGGTAGCCAATCGGAATAGCCGAGTCCGGTGTGTACACAAGAAATTCGGAGGCTCGAGGGTAGCCCTATTAAAATCTGAATGGCAGCTTTTCGCGGCTAGGTAACGACCTTAATTAAAAAGTTTGTCGGCCGCGTCCCAAAGATTTACAGAATGGCGGCCACCGCCGCAGGCGTCTTCAGAAAGTGCCTATTGGATCTTAATACATAGGCGCTGTCCCTGGAGTCGAGGTGCAAAAGAGTTTCAAAGAAAAAACTCTGTTCTCGTTTTCCAACGGGGCGCACATAAATATCTCGGATCATTTCTCTCTTATCCTGCGACGATTCTCCGCTACTCCAATTGAAAAGGTCAGGCGATTCAAACGTGACACAACGTTACCTTTGATTCGAAAATGTAATTGTTCTTTGTCATTATACTTTGTCGTTGTGTCGTTGTGTATCTTGAGAGATCTTTAAACGACGTTATCCTTTGCGATTTAAAAATGCAATTGTTCTTTGTCGTTATACTTTGCCGGATGTGAAAATGTCATTGTCCTTTGCGATTTTAAAATGCCATTGTTCCGTGACATTGTTCTTTGTAATTGTTCTTTGTCGATCTATAGATGAACTGAAAAATAAAATAGATAAATTAGTAAATAGAATAAATAGATTAGAAACTATTATAGATAAATTAGAAAATAAAATAGATAAGTTAGAAAATAAAATATATAAATTGGAAAATAAAATAGATAAATTAGTAGATAGAATAAGTAAATTAGAAACTATTATAGATAAATTATAGAAAATAAAATAGATAAATTGGAAAATTTAGATTTATATATATAGAAAGTAAAATAGATAAATTAGAAAATGAAATAAATAAATTCGAAACTCGAACAAATGAATTACAAACTAGAACGTATAGGTTAGGAACTAGAAACGCAGAATCATTGTCCGGAATGCCCATTGTCCCCGGTAGCCAATCGGAATAGCCGAGTCCGGTGTGTACACAAGAAATTCGGAGGCTCGAGGGTAGCCCTATTAAAATCTGAATGGCAGCTTTTCGCGGCTAGGTAACGACCTTAATTAAAAAGTTTGTCGGCCGCGTCCCAAAGATTTACAGAATGGCGGCCACCGCCGCAGGCGTCTTCAGAAAGTGCCTATTGGATCTTAATACATAGGCGCTGTCCCTGGAGTCGAGGTGCAAAAGAGTTTCAAAGAAAAAACTCTGTTCTCGTTTTCCAACGGGGCGCACATAAATATCTCGGATCATTTCTCTCTTATCCTGCGACGATTCTCCGCTACTCCAATTGAAAAGGTCAGGCGATTCAAACGTGACACAACGTTACCTTTGATTCGAAAATGTAATTGTTCTTTGTCATTATACTTTGTCGTTGTGTCGTTGTGTATCTTGAGAGATCTTTAAACGACGTTATCCTTTGCGATTTAAAAATGCAATTGTTCTTTGTCGTTATACTTTGCCGGATGTGAAAATGTCATTGTCCTTTGCGATTTTAAAATGCCATTGTTCCGTGACATTGTTCTTTGTAATTGTTCTTTGTCGATCTATAGATGAACTGAAAAATAAAATAGATAAATTAGTGTTTTGTGTGATTGTTCCTCGTGAGTAGTGTACAGTAATTTCTCCCCCTAATTGACGCTTAGATTGCGCACAAAAATGGACAATTTGGGAAGATGAGTTAACTGATATTTATGAGTTAACGAGTAACGTAATTGTATTATTTTATTTAATTACATTTGATTTTATTTACTTATGTATAATTTCATTTAATTTTATTTATTTGTATATCGTTCAATTCTAGGTAGGTAACGTGTAAATCTAATTCATTCTATTCAATTATAATAGAAAATTGTTTTGAATAAATATCTTGCGACAAGTAGATTAGGAACTCGGATAAATAAATTAGATACTACGAACAGATAAATTAGA